CTTAGATCCGTCTAGTTCTGCTATCATATATGCACCCGAGTCAAGTGCCTCAACCACTCTGTAAGGTCCCATCCATCTATTGGCAAGCTTTCCGGTCCAGGTCCTCTCTAGTGCCGCGTCGTAGAGAAGGACCATATCTCCTACGCTCACCCTCTCTTTCCTGATTCGGACGTTCTTATCCCATCTCTCTTTACCCTTGTCCCTTTCCGCCGCCAGACGATCGGCTGCTGTCATGAGGTTGTCTTCCAACCCGTAGGCTATCTGTCTTGTTCGGGCAGCTAAGAGTTCCTCTCTGGACATCTCCTCTGCCCAGTCGACGTATGTCCAGCTGTCGACGTGAAACTCTATGGGAAGCGGACAATGTCGCCCAAACCACAAGGTGTATGGTGGGTATTCGGTACTAGCCCGGACCGTGACGTTGTCCGCCCATATTGCGTATCGAAAATATCGTGGCCAATCACTGTCCTTACCCTTGCACCACTTGGACAGTGACGCTATCAGAGTCTGGTGTCCCCTCTCTACTGGGGAGTTCGACTGTGGGTGATAGGCGGTGGCTATTGAAACTCTCGCCCTGGCTCTCCTAAACACGCCCTGAACCTCGTCGGCTAGGAATTCCGCTCCTCTGTCCATTACTATCTTGCTGACACAACCGTACCTAGATAAGTACTCTAAGACAAAGCTCTTTACTTCCTTTGCCGCCTTACTCCTAATAGGTCTACCGTCCACGAACCCAGTGAAATCGTCTCGTATGTTCACGACGTAGTTCATATTCCCTACTCATCTCGGCATTTTCACTAGATCGATGTGTACCTCCTTTCCTGGTCTGGTTGGATAGGATGGATGAAGCGGCTCTTTGTATTTCACAAGAGCTCTCTTCTAGCACTCTTCGCATGTCATACAGTACCTCTCGACGTCCTTATACTGTCCTTCCCACCAGTACAGCCGGCGTATCTTTTCGTAGGTTCCTTTAACTCCCCTGTGTCCTCCGACTACCCCGTCGTGAAGTTCCGCAACTATTGTCTGCCTCTCCTCAGGATCACAGACCACTCGTAAGGGCATTCCCGACCCTACTCGCCTTCGGAAAAGGTGGCCCGCTCTAAGGCAGTACTGGGCTGGTTGCCTCCGGATTTCTGAATCTTGACTCTCCTCTCCCGTCAGGTGTAGTCCGATTATTCGGTACTTGCCCTCATAAAGATTAGCTACAAATCTCTCGGCGGGTCTCGGTTCTGCCATTGTCAGAGCCCCAGCTACTATCGGACGCTCGAGAGGGATGCGTGAAAGTCCATCTGCCATGGCATTTTTAGTACCAGATACTCTCTCAACCGTGTAATCGTATAACCGAATCCGTATTAACCATCGGGCGATGGTCGGGTCCGTCAGACTAAAGTTCTTCTGGAGGACAGAGGCAACTACGGTGGGGTCTATTCTCAAGATGAACCGTCGCCCATAGATAGAGTGTCTGAACGTGTCTAGACACCGGAAAACAGCTAACACTTCCTTCTTGAATTGACTGTAGTTACGCTCAGCCGTATTAAGTGTACTACTCTCCAGCGTCCTTCTGAGACAGCAAACCACCCACTGAACATGGTCCAGCATCCGTGGATACTATGAAAGGTCTTTTGGTCTCATCGTCAAAGAATGGCACGCCCAACACGCGTCCTCCCTCCTAAAATTCGTCTTTAAGTTCTTGCATTGCGAGTTCCTGCGAAGAATCCCAGTAAAATTTTTCAGTCTTTCGAAGGAGTAACCTCAATAGCTCAACCTTCTCCGCATACCCCCGTATGAATATACGCCAGTAACCGACCACTCCTAGAAACTGCCCGACCTCGGTTGGGCTATGTAACGGTGAGGGCCAGTTCATAAGTTTGTCTAACTTCGCCGGATCCGCTCGGCGTCCTCTCGAGTCACATATAAAGCCCAAGATCTTCATAGTCGAGACGGCCCATCGGCTCTTTGTTCCGCTGACTGTTAAATTCGCATCGTCCAGCTGCTCGAGTACCGCGCAAATATCTGTTAGGTGCTGCTCGACGAATCTTCTAACTCCAGGTACAACCTTTGTCTCATCCCTGTCTACTGGCCCTTTTATAGGAAAGTCATCCAGAAAAACTTCAACCTTATCAGGGATGAAGTCCTTGAGGACGGCTACCATGGCTCTCTTAAAAACGACTACCCCATTAGTCCAACCAATAGGGACAACCATCATCTGTATTGGTCCCAATGGCGTATGCATAGCCGTGAGGTGCCTGTCTCTAGGGTCAAGTGGTACCTCATCATAGCCTGAGAACAGATCACAGACGGAATAAATCGACCTACCTGCGGCGCCTTCTGCCAGTAAATCGGCGTGTGGCATGGAGCCCACGTCTCGTATCGTCACCGCGTTGACCTTCTGAAGGTCTTGGATCCATCGGATCTTGCCATTCGGCTTTCGTAGGAAGAACCATCAATTAACATTAGCGCTATCAGACGGCTCCGCAACATGGGAAACCATTTTTTCTTTCACGAAAGTGATAACCTCTTCCTTCTCCTTCTGGGCGTATTTCCATCCCGCGTCATTCCAGGGAACATGTGATATCGTTTTAATCCTTGCTGGCTTAGCGTATCGAGGGTCAATCCTACCGCGCTCCGCGTCACAAAAAGCTATGGCCTTATCACATGTCTTCACGATTTCTATCACACGTTCTCGCTCCTGTGGGGTCAAATTCCCATCTCCGATGTCCATCCCTGCTATCCTCTCTTCCGTTAGGCGTTGCGGCTCCTTTCTCTTTCTTTCTTTGATTTCTTTCGCGATCTCTTCTTCCGATATCCCTTCCAGTGCAGATCGCTCGCGGCCCACCGCGGCTGGCTTAACTTTTTGAGCTACTCGCTTGTGTCGCTTGGGTAGCCGCCCAGAGGGGGCCGTGCCCTTAAAAAAGACACGGATACCACACTGCCAAATTCCTCATCTTTTTCCTTCGGGTACGAGTTGCCGTCCACTATTAGCAGGCTCCCTAAATCTTTCACCTCCACGATCCGACCTTCTTCCTCTGAAAGCAGTGGTCCATATCTCTTCTCGCGAAATCGCACCGCGCGGCCGGAGATAGGTAACGACTTAATCTGATCACTGGGTCCCGCACCCACAGCGAGAGCTGCTCTGTTCCTCGGGTCCCGAGGCTCCACATTCTCAATCATCACCCGCGTCCCGTCTGGCTTCCTAATAGACAATGTTTGGCTCCCATCAGGTCGCTCTATCGTCACCGCATGCACGTGGCTCAGCCACGTTCGACCCAAGAGCAGGTCGGAGCTACAGTTCTTGACTGCAAAGACAGGCAGGGTCACTCTTACCCCTTGGACCTCTATGGCTGCCTTGTGACAAAACCCAGTGATCTGTTGCTTTCTCCTATCAGCCGTCTATATCTCGAATAGGTATGACCTATCGAGGCCCAGTCCAACTTGTACTGCCAGGTCCTCGTCTATGATGACAGCCTCACTGCCGTTATCAATCACAGCATCGAGTATCGCTCCGTCGTTTATAATCGTCTCTACGGCCCCGCTACCAAGTATATAAAACTTGTCTGGAGGCACACCTTCCATCCCATCGAGAAGGACTGTCGTCATGCGATCCGCTCTGGCAGTCACCCCCGTTACCGCTATTGTAGAAGCTTCCGCTTTAGGGGTCCCCTGACCCTCCTCTGATAGAGGTATGCGAGTCTTCCGCGTGATCATCTGTAATTCATCACGAGCCGGCTTCGATGCCGCCAGGTACTCCAGAATAGAACACTGCATTGGTTGCCGAAGGGCCCGCCTCAGTGGCTCAACCGTGTCAATCTCGTCCAGCGAACTCTTCATTAAGAACTTCTTCACTCCCCTCTTTCGCGGCGAAAGGATAACCTCCTCTCCATAGACTCGCTGCCCGTCCTTCTCCGTCATCACGTAATCCGTGTCAGTCTTCTTCGATGTAGACCCTCTTGCCGACTTGGTGGCTGCCACCCTTATGGGTGTGGTCGCGATATCCCCCTCAAAGATTATCTTGATGCTCTGGCTCCTGACCGGCTCCATTCCTTTACTCGTCTTTATTCTCCTTGCTTCGACATTCTCCTTCATCGAAGGAAACATCGATACATCTCCCAGATCATCTGCCCACTTGACATACTTGCGGTCGTCAAGCACGACAAGTCCCTCATCTATTGCCCGTTTGAGATCCCGGCAATCCCTCTTGATATGATTTTCTCCTCTACAGTAGACGCATGAGTTCCTGGGAGTAGATGGCCTGTCGTCTGCGCCTCTAGAGATCGAACTCCTGGCCGCCTTGGGGTCAGGCAACTTAGGATATGGTTCTGATGAGACGTCATATCCTCCTCTCTTATTCCGTCCGCGCGAATCGTTGCGCCGGTCTCCTCCAGACCCTCCTTGCTCATACCGCCCTCGCGAATCATTCCGGCGGTCCCCCGAGTCATATCGTCCTCGTGACTCATCGCATCGGTCCCCTCGGTTGTACCATCCCCGCGACTCGTCGCGCTGCTCTCTCGCATCTCCCCCGTGCTCAAACCGTCCGCGTGACCCATCTTGTCGTTCTCACCGATCTCCTCCCTCATATCAACTTCCTCTGTAGCTATCTCGACCCGGCCTCTCGTATCTGTCGTCCCTATATCCATCTCGGTCCGATCTCTCGTATTTGTCGTCCCTATATCCATCTCGTCGGGCCTGTTTTGTCTCCCATCGGCCGCGGGAGTCGCCTCTACCCCGATCAGCCTCATAGCGAGGGCTTCGCTGGTAATCATCTAGCCTCCTTGTTCGCACAAACAGCTCGCGTTCTCTGCGGTCTCGGTCTATCTCATCGTCCCTACGTCGCCATGATTCATCGTCTCTCTCTTTTCCCCTCGTACGATAATCAGTCAGCGTCCGAGGATTCCTATCCTCGACACTGCTCAAGGGATCGTTGTTCCTATGATCCCAGCGAAGTGAATAGGGCCCTCCAGGTTTGTCCTGGTAGGCTGTGACCCCTGTGGCGGTCAGAATCTCTGTAACCTGTCTCGTTAATCCCTTCACCATGTCCCGTATCTCCTTCACTTCCTCAGCCACGGCCTCATTCTTCTCCGACCAGGGATAATCTTTGAAATCAGGACATCTATCAGTGACATACTCCTTGTAGAGAGAGAAATCACGTCTCCTCATCCCTTTCCACACCAAGTCCTTGTAATCGTCTGCCTCTGCCTTTATCGCGAGCTTTAGGACTTCTGGGAAATCAAGCCTGTTGCGCGGAAGATCTCTAAGTATACTCTTTTGCCTACCTTTGGACAAGTGTCCGATGAAGATAGTACAGCGCTCGACCTCTGAGATCTTCCCCTTCTTCATCAGCACGTCGGAGATCTTTTGGAAACGCATCCCAAATGTCCGTACGCTCTCATCTTCATCTTGAGTCATTGTTTCAAGGTCCTTGATGAAATACTTGTTATCCTCCAATTTGTAAAGCTCGACGAGGTTCTTCTTGTACGTAGTCCATTTCCCATCCTTCGGTCGAGCTTCCTTAACGTCCCTACCAAGTCTTGGGTTCACATTAAATAGGAAGTTCTTTATAATCTCTTCCTCCGACCACTGACTCCGGCTGGCGTGAAGCTCCCACTTCTCCAGATATTCTGTGATACCATAACCCCTGAAGGTAGGAGGCTCTGAGGCCTTGTGCGTAATAATATAGCGATCCTTGTTCTCGTAAGGGAGTGAATGTGACTCCCCTTTCTGGGGGTCGAAGACTCGCCTGGGCGGCGCCTTGTCTCTATCCCTGTCCCTCCAATAGGAATCCCTCAAATTCTCTCTCTTGTCGTCTCTGTACCTGTCCGCTACGGTGTCCCTCCGCTCATACTCGGGGGAGCGCCGCCTCGTCGCTTCTCGTCGTCCGTTCGAGGTACCTGTCTTTAGAGCCTCCTGCGGCTCTGTCGCTACTGGTTCGTCTCTCATGTCGGGCCCTCCGTCATTGGTTTGGTCAACCCATCTCAGCGGTGCTTCTTGCCTAATTCGTTCCTTCAGATCCCTCAGTGCTCGATCGGGCGATGCCCTGTACTCCTCTCCTGCTTCGCCCATGGTCGGTTGTGGCCTCATCGTGTCGGGTTCCATTCGACCGCCAGAAGATGCAGTCAGGTATTCTAGCCAACTGTTACAGCCCGACCCTATGACAGTCGCGGCAGCCCGGACCTGTGACAGTCGCGGCAGCCCGGACCTGTTTCTTTGTCACGACTCGCGTCCGCCTCCAATCTTAACTCGCGACTGCCTTGATTACCACCTCCAGTATCCCGTACCGGTCGCAGATCTCGTGTTCTCTCTCTATCCCAAGAATCCCTGCGTCTAAGTAACCTCTCCTTCGGGATCGGTCAACAAGGTCGTGCCTGTCCGGATCCACAGTACGCCCGTGACAGGACCTCTATCCTTGAGACAGATTGCAATCCCAAACCAAGCCAATATCTCCTGATCAACACTCCTCAAAAGTCCCCGAGCGTCTTTCTCCGTCCTCCTTGCTAGTTCTTCTAGCCCTGTCTGAATCGGTTAGCCCGCTAAAGGCCCTCATACTGCCATCCAAAGTCGCCCATCGACCTCTCTAGCTTCCTCTATTCTTCCAAAAGCTTCCAATTTTTATTTCCACTACCTTATCTCCTCAACGGTTACGAGGTCATCTGTCTAACAGCTGAGGTTAGTTAGTGCTATAACGACTTGTAACCTTATCGCCGACCGCTCCAATATGTCTTAAAATGTCTCAAAGTCCTCATTATCTCCTCCTTCGTCTATCGCCTCTAAAGTCTTCATCGTTTCCTTCCAGTACCGGTTGTGAGCGGCTAACACCATGAGTATTGCACCATCTGTTACAACTCTCCCTAACTCTTCAGCTTTCCTGGCTTCGTTTATCTTCAACCTCTCAGCCTCTCTGGTCGTCTCGTACCATGCGCTCATCCGAGACCGCCCTTCGAAGGGTGTTACTCGGAGTACGTATTTTATCCTCCGTCCTCCTTCTATTCCAATCCAAAGTCATGTCCCCCTTGCCTCACGCAGGGCACGGCGGAAACACTCTGCCTCCTCAACTATGCACAGTCTGGTATRGAGCTGGAGTTCTATGATCACTAACACTAATGGTCCGTCCAGTCTCCCTACCACATGTAATGAGTACCGATCCGTCGTGTGTAGTGCAGTCCCGCTCATGTCCTGTCGCTACTCCCCTGCGTTACTTTGTCTCCCGTTGTCTCGCTCTCTGCAGATCGCTTACTAGTTTCTTCGCGTGATACGCTTCTAGCCTTTACCTTCTCCAAAAAGTCTGATCTCCACGCCTGGATAATCTCTCTCTCCTCCCTAAACAGACTCTCTAACTCTCTCGTCACGAGTTCAGCCCTTCGCAACTTGCCCTCGTCTTGACACGTCCAGATCTCCCTTAAGTTGTCCCCCAACTTCTTTACCTGGCTCAAGAGTGGTTCTTTAACGTGCTTTCTCACTCTTCCGACTGCCTCACTCTCCTCTTCCATACTCAGTCCACATCTTTCTCCAGCTCACCCTCTCACCCTCGCTCTAGCCTCCGCTACCGTCTCATCGTGGTAGTGCTCCGCGCGCATATAACCATGAGACCATATCATCACATCATAGGAAATCGAGGTCTGGAAGGTAACTTGCGCCAGTACATCAGCTCTACGCTCGTGGATCAAATCCCTAGCTCGTTGTCTGCACTCACTCGCCGTCAAGTCCTCGTCTACGTACGCTCGGAGAAGTACTGTCACATTGTATCCTGTGCTTACCAGTTGCTCTTCTACACGCATCACCGTGGCCGTCCTTCCCGACATTCCCTAAGCTGCGACCTCAAAGAGAAATCTCGCGTCCTCTAGCCCCGCGTAATCGATCTCTGCCCGTCTCCTGCAGTACCTAATCAGATTGATAGGCCTCAGACAGTCCACCCAGCTCGTAACATCTATGATGTCGTCAAACGTCTCTCTACTGGGTGGCCCCCACCTCACACAAATGACGTAGTATACTTCCTTGAAGCGGGGCGCTAAGCCCTCCCAGAGCGCGTAAAGTGTGTGATCCACTGCTCTCCTCAAACGATCCACGCTCCCATAGGTCTGCCCTATCACGAAGGTAGGAACTCCGAATCGCCAATCCTTTCTCGGGTAGAGGGTCGGATGTGGTGGACCGTATACCAAGCAGCTCTTAGAAGTCCTCCCTCCAGAGAGTCTCGCCAATTACTGATTAACGATCACTCTAGCCAACAACTCGGTTCTCCACCAACTCCTGCTCGCCCCTGCAAGCGTTAGCCCTATCTCTAAATTGTGTGTTCTATCCGCTATTAGATGTCCGACCCCTTCTAGATCATGAGTCMTCTCGGGTCGTTCGTCTCGTAGTATCACTGTCCATAGGAAGAGCCCCTCWGCGAGCCACGTTCCCAAGTATCGTATCGGTACACGCCCTGCCTCTTCTAATGCCACAGGAAGTGGTATGTCGTACCCAACCGCCGTCTCTCTGGGTCCCACAAGCTTCCTCACACTATACGATTTGGACTCTCGTGAGAAAACATAAGCTAACCAGGCCGCTGAATCACTCCTCATTTCTTCTCCTACTCTCGGTCAGCATCACTCTACTCCCTCCGATACACCCCATCTCTCGACGTTGCTAACCCTTCTGACAACTCTCGCACTCAGGTCCAGTATGGTCGAATAGGTTCAGTAGCCAGGCTCACTCATCTGTCGCCCTGGTGCGCTCCTCTACCTCCTACGCCCGGACCGCTACTCCTATCCTGGGAAAATGGTCGTCTATAACGTCAATCTCCTCCTCGTCAACCTCACTCTCTGGGTCGACCCAGTCTGGTTCCCACATCTCCTCGTCGTCCTCTCGCTCCCAACCCTCATCGTCAAACTCGTCCTCGACGCGGTATGGCGCCTGTCCTATGGCCTGGTAGTATTCCGTCAACTGATGGCCGTATATCAGAGGTCGCCCGACGTCCTCACTCCACCAGCTCCCCCAGTCGTCTGAGAAGAGCCGCCCGATGCAAGTCACGTACTCGGGGCCTGCTCGGAGCTCACGGTCTAGCCAATCCCAAACGCATGAAGRMTRGGGCCACTCGTCGTCTATCGAGCGGATCAGCTCTATAAGCTGAACCCTCTCGTCTCCCCAACGAGGCCCACCGGTCGCAAGCGAATAATAGATGTAGTCTAGGTCGGCAGGCCTTCTCGCCAGGATCTTGAGATCCTGATAGGCCAGGTATGTCTCGACCACTCCACCAAGACCTTCAAAGACACTCTCTACTACGAACGCCGGAACTATCGCCCGCAGGCTCCTAACGCTGTATGGGAAAAACCCATCCCGTGCTACAACCAGCTCGCCCGTGATATCAAGAGGAGGGCGTCCATGAAATAGGGTCAACGGGTTGCTCGCGTCCTCCGCTCGGAAAGCAGCTACCTCTTCCCCTAGGTAGCGTAGCGCCCTGCTAACTGCGTCACTAGTCCCTGTCGTCACGAGGCCCACCACGGCCTCCCTGACCGCACCCGGTCCCAAATATAAGTAGGCTCTCACTACGTCCACTCCTTGCCCCGGCCGGTGCTCTCTGTACATCCAAAGCCACACGTCCTCGGACAGGATTATGGACCTCCACGCAAACTGGCCGTCAGCGTGTCGAATGCTGCGTCCGGGGATCGTGAGCTCGACCAGATCCCCCTCTATGAGTTCAGGGGGCTCTAAGTCTCAGTCAATGGTAGCCCCATAGACCTCTACTTGCACCCGCGGCCACATTCAACTGGCGGCTAGAGAGAACGCAGCAAGCAGAAGGTGTAGATTAATAACTGAAATTTCGCGTCACTTTCCTCACGCCTTCGAGAACAAGCTAGTAGGTTCACCTGAAACCAGGTTACCGCAACGTCTCTTTCCCTTCTCTTTCTAGGGAATTCTTTTGTATTTTTCAATTATAAATTAAAAAAAAAATATTTAGTTAAGATAAAATTTCTTTCTTAGTTTATATATATTAAGGATCAATACTTATATAAGCCCGCCGAGTTTGATACTTTTTAGGGGTAGAAATAAAATTTGGTGATTTTACTAAAATTTCGGCAGCGTTTCGCCTCCCCCCCATTGGGATGGGGTTCGGGACTATTGTCCCTAGACAAATGCTACCTACCCAAAACTATTGCCAAATGAAACAAGAGGAAAGTCGCTTAAAGAAACAAATTTCTAACGTATTTATAATTAATTTCCCTAATCGCTTTCAATATATTTATATAAAAAAGAATTAATAATTTAAATTAGGAGATTTTTCGAAATTTCGACAGCACTTTGCCTCCCCCCCATCGGGATAGGGTTTGGCCGAAGGCCTCAAAATACCGTCGGTAGATGTTTAACAAGAAAGATTAAGAACTGRAAAAGTATCTCAATCTTTAGCTAATTTTYAAGTATTTTCTTTAATTATTTAAGATTTAATTCAATAAAATTCAGCAAATTGCCGAGAAATTTCGGCAGCACTTTGCTTCCCCCCGTTGGGATGGGGTTAAGCGAAGTATCTCCCGAATCACAAAATCGAAATAAAGCCGACTCCTCTTCCTTGAAGAATTTTAGATATTTATTTTTGATTTTTAATCGATTTTTAATGACAAATTATTACTTAAAATAAATTTACAACTTAAATTATTTAATTAAAACAAAATTCCCAATTTTGATTAATTTCAATTTGGTCAACTCGATTTATACAAAATTTTCCCATCACCGGTCGGATAGAAAGACTTGTATCCGCCCGGGTACGCACCGCCCTTCCCTAACTTAGGGTTAGGGTTTACCCCAATTAGGGTTTTGGGGTTTTGCTCGCGACCGCACGCCACCATAAGTTTTAGGGTTGGTGCCAACTGTGAGGAAATCAGGCCCAGTACCGACGGATCGAAGGGTCGTGCCCAGTACCAACAAGAAAAAAGGCTTGGCCCGGCACGAAATGGAAAAACTGCCAGGCCCGAAACGTGGCCTACACCGCCCACCGTTTTAGGGTCCACGTACAGGCCCGACTTTTTTCTTAAATCACCATGTCGTGCATGGCCACGGTTTTTGGGTCCACGTGGGGCTAGACGGAAAAAAAAACACCCTTACCCCTGTCGGCATCTTCATTTGGCATCCCCGCGAAAACGTGAGCCTGACGGAGCGCTATTCTGCCAAACGTGCGCCATTGTGAGCTGCGCCTGCGCCACTGCGAGCTGCGCGTATGCCATTGCGATCTCCGTGTGCGCCATTGCGAGCTGCGAGTGACGGTGCCTTCGAGCAGCTCTGTGCCTTCTCCTGGCGCCTTTGCACGGTGCCTTCGAGCAGCTCTGCGCCTTTTCGGGGCGCCTTTGCATGGTGCCGTCGAGCAGCCGAACGTCTTCTTCTACCACGGTGCGTTCGAGCAGCCTCGTGAACTGGAAGCAGGCTAGCTGCGAACTTCAGTACTCGGTTAGGGCCCTTCGTCTGGCAGCATTCCACCCAGCATATGCATTTCCTTTGAGAAGATGAAGTTTCTTCGACTACCACTTTTGCGCCCCTCAAGGCTTCGGTCCTACAACACGCCTGTCCACCACGCAGGACTTGTTGAATAACCCTTCGTCCCCCCCGCACTCTTACGCCCCTCAAGGCCCTCCCTCCATTCCTCAAAGTCATCCCTCCCTCCCTCGCTTTTACACAGAACTACTCACTTTTACGTCCCTGACGGCCCTCCCTCCTTCCCTCCAGGCCTCCGTCCTACAGCACGCATTCAGTGCAAGGCCCTCCCTCCCTCCTCAAATGCCTTTTTGTAGTTCGAAAGGTTTTTTATTTTTTGGGAAAGGTCTTTTGTTTTTTTTAAAAGTCATTGTTTTGTATGTTATTGTTCGACAGTTCATTTTTTTTGGGAAAAAGGCGGGGTGACCGTTTGTTTCCATGGCATTATGAAGCTTTTGTCATTCCACATCTGCGTTGTTTTCCATTCGTCGAAAGAAAATGTGTCGTTCTCGAAGGGGTGTTGTGTATCTACCTTTCGTCGTTCCACGTCCACGTTTGCTTTCCCTTCGTTCCAAGGAGAACTGTGCAATGGTGTGGCCCGGCGTCCCAAAGGCGCCAGGCAAGACCTAATGGCATGTCCACGGAGTTTCGGGACGGCGGACGATAGACCATGCGATGGCATGGTTCGTCGCCGCCGGGACGACAGACCATGCCATGGCATGGTCCCGCGGCTCCAGGACTCCATACCATGCCATGGTATGGCCTGGCGCCTCGACGACGCCAGACCATAGCGTGGGATGGTCCGGCGGCTCCGGGACTCCGGACCATGCTGTGGTATGGTACAGCGCCTCCACGATGCCAGACCATAGCATGGCATGGTCCGCCGGTTCCGGGACGCCGGACCATGCCATGCTATGGTCCGGCGCCTCCGCGACGCCAGCCGATGCCATGCTTTGGTCCGGCGGCTCCAGGACCCTGGATCATGCCATGGCATGGTCCGGCGTCTCCGCGGCGCTGGGCCATGCCATGGCAAGGTCTGGCGGCTCCACGAAACTGGACCCTTCCATGGCATGGTCCGGAGTCCCGGAGCCGTCGGAACATGGCAGGTAATGGTCCGGCGTTCCGGTGGCGTCGGACCATGCCTCGACATGGTCCGGGGTCCCGGAGCCACCAGACCCTGCCAGGGAATGGTCCGGCGCCACGTGCCATTCCGTGTTGGGGTCATCGCATCGCGATACGCGGGCTGAAGGGCCGTGCCAATGCAATGTAAGGTCAGGATGCTGGGGCGTTCAATTGCACGCAATGCACGACAGTGCCCGGGATAAAAGACCATGCGATAGAATGCTGGGACCCGCGTTGCAGGACCCAAAATGAAAGAACATGTGATAGAATGCTGGGACGTTCAATGGAGGACCATGTCAGTGCATGGCATCGCTAGGGCTGAAGGACTGTGCCATGTCATGCTATGGTCTAGCGTCCGCTGTGTTACGAAGGAGGATGCACGGCCTTGACAGTGCATGGCTCGTTGTACGGCAGGACCCGGCTCAATGCAGAACCATCCTGGACCATTGCACCGTAGGACCCACCTCAATGCAGGACCATTGGACTGTAGGACCCGCCTCAATGCAGGACCATGCTGGACCATTCCACGGTAGGACCATGCCGCGACATGGTCCTGCATTCACGAGAGAGTTGGGCCATGTTGCGATATGGTCCGGGGTCCCGGAGCCACCAGACCATACCGGGGAATACTCGACGATAGAGTTGGGCGACCCGACTGTGGCGCACGGGTGCAATGGCATAACATATTTCCTATGTTCCTCGCAAACATGCTTACAACATTTTATGTGTTGTATACAGAAGCTGCTTCATGTGATCCTTCAAGTGGTAGGATGGATACCGGCGACATCAAGCGTCATCGACGATTGGACGAGAACACAAAATTGAGGATTGTCGAGGCACTTCGAGTCGATCCATGGTTGAGTGTGCTGCCATGGCGAGGAAGAGTTGGGAACTGGAGCAAGAGCGATTGTGATATTGCAATGAATGTCCATGGGCGCACGACTTCAGATTCGCTAACGAGATGGAATGAGGATGACGCATCGAAATATGTCCTGCCTCCCTCCATACAGCGTATATACTGAACTACGCGAACATTCATTGGATGTACGACCACCAGCATACTTATGACCCTCTTGTATCTATTATAAGCCAAGAGTCGGACAACGTGTATTGTGAGGAAGACGGACCAATCTCATGCAAGTTCGTAACAATATCACCTTGCACATGGCCGAAGCGGTTCGGAGTCGAGTTGCAAAGGTGTAGAAGATTGTGCAACAAAATCATAACTTATCCCGTGCGGAACGAAGAGGGGACAACCAGTCAGCGCATATCTTATTGCTTTGTGAGGATTTTCTTAAACGATGCCGATTTATGTAGAGTGAATTGTGTAGCATGCACAGGCAAGAATGAGAGATTAATAGAGGCAAGATGCGAAGCAATGTGGATTGAGAAGAAATACAACAATTCAGTATTTAATGTGAAAGAGTCAATGGGCAAAGTAGAGGATAAGATATGCACCATAAGAGATGATATCGGCATCGCTCTTGCTGGTACACATAGTTATGAAGATGTCATATATATCGTTATTCGATAGGGACGACGATGACAAACTCGAGGGTTTGAAAACGCTCACATTCGTCTCACCCCTGCACGGTTTGTACAGTTATGAAGGTAAACGTGTTCCACGCATTGTTTGAGAATAATAAATTTTTATGTTATAGATGGTTAGATGGTTTGGCATAGATAGGCATGTATGATCAGTGAGAGTTGAGAATGGAGAAAATGTATGTAGGGATATTCGTCAGACTTAATGTATGACATTAGGAATTGTGAAATGTATTTCGACAAGCGACGGATGTGACACATTGAATGTCCGTTTATTTCGTTCATGTGTGTGTGATGTGAGTAGGGTGCATAATGTCGTCGATAATGTCGACAAGCATCAGTGAGAGTCACGAGAGGCATACGCGTTTAGCAAAACCGTTTCCTCCTTGTGCGAAATCGGTGCGCCATTATAACGGTCACACATGGGTCTACGAAGCAACCACAGAGGACGTCGAAGAGGACCCGTGGATGACCATCGTCTCGTACACGACCCCACATCTAGACGAATGGAAGGATGGTATTTGGAACGCAATGGAGATTGCATGCCCTTCAGCAAACCATTACAAGTTTGCCAATATCTTGGAGTTTGGGGGCCTCATTCCAAGGCCTGATGGTGTCCTGAAGCCCAAGTTCCTCGCCCGTGTGCGTGAATCATTCCACTTCGCTAGTTGTCTGAGAAGTCACCTCGACTGCGAGTACATCACTTCTTCACCACGAACAAGAGTTGGTGGATTGCGCTCGTCATTCTTCATTTTTGGAACAGTACCCACTCTGTTGCCCAGGGATTTTTCCTCAAGCTGTGTCATACTGTTGTGTGCGGTTGACTATTACCGGATGTGCTGTCGCCAGAGTGCGATGTTTGGCTTGTTCAAACAAAAGTAGGAAACTCCTTGATGCAGTTGTGTGTGTATCACGGAACAAGTTGTATATGGACAGATCCAAGTTTATGTCTGTGTCATATCGTCGTGGTCCAAATGGTAAGTCAAATACAGTGATAGCAGGTCAGGTCGAAGATTATTCATTGTGGTATGAGGTAGAAGAGAAAGTGTCCGACATACGAGATAGTATAGGAAATTCATTAGCACGGCCATGAGGATTTGTTAGGATGAAATACATGTCCATATTTATGGAGAACGCAACAGTCGAGGAACCGCAGATCCACGTATATGGATCATCTATGAATGTCATGTATGGCTTCGGTTCACGACCTCGTATATCACCAGATCCGGACGGGTTGTCAGACCTTGTGCTTAAGGTATAAACATAAAGCGAACAGCGTAAGTTAGCATAGCTGACCGATACATCAAGGGTATACAAAACAATCGATGCACTGTCATCGCTGACACAACTTTATAAAGTGAGAACAATGGACTATTGTGAGGGGAAGAAAGCAGTGATAAGGAACGAGACAGTGGAAGTGGTCCAGGATGGTTCTGCATTGAGCCGGTTCCTACCGTGCAATTGAACGCACCAACATCCTGACCTAACGTTGCATTGGCACAACCCTTTGTTGCCGTAGGGACATGAGGGTTCGTTCGCAGGGACGGGAGGGTTGCATTCGGCTCATCGATGAACGTGTTATATGGCTTTGGCTCCTCGCGGGGTCCCGCTTTGCAGTAGTGTCCACTTGAATCGTGTGGTATGCCCCAATACCTGTCTATTGTCGTCGCGCCTTTCATGTCCTCTTATGTTTTGTTTTTTTTCCATCCTCCGGGACAGCCGTATTATGTACATGCCAAGGACAAAGGTAGGGTTATGATATGGTGAAAATCGAGAAGACGGACTGGAAATCGTCGAGGATCGATGGTAGTCAAATGAAACAGCAGTGTGGTGTACAAAACTGGGACGTTGGACCCGGTTTCCAGCTGGTGTAGATCCTCACCACTAGTTTGGAGCCATCTCCATCAGGGTTCCTATTCGTGGGGGTTGCTCTTATCTCCTCCACGAATACGGGCGGTTGAGATGTTTTGCGAAAAAAATAAATAAAAAAATCATCGTTAATTTTCGTAATTGCTGCTCTCTCAGAGGGCCCCTTCTCAAAAGTTGTGCTGATGATGCGATGTTTGCTTTGCAAACCGTTATGTTTATTTGTATGGGGCATGGGGCCCCTTTCCCGGCTTCTATTATAACACTCCCCTGCTGCGTGTGTACGTTTTTTTTTTTTTCCATTATTTCATTCCCAAAAAAAAAAGAAAAAAAAAAGAGGAAAAACAAATGTAACAATATATCGGGAAAGTCCTCACGATGATTATTAAAACGAGCAAAAATAGAAAATGTATATTTCATAGTTTCTGCCAGAGCATCCAATGGTCAGCCGCCTCACGGGTTCCGGACCATGGGATGGTCCGACGCCTCGGGGGGCTCCGGACTATGGGAGCCACGGATGCGCTGTGGAGCAAGAATCCATGGGATGGTCAGGTACCTCGGGGAAGCCAGAGCATCCAATGGTCTGGTGTCCCTAGGGGCTCTCCACCATGGGGATGGCACGGCGCCTCGGGGAAGCCGGAGCATCCAATGGTCCGGCGCCTCGGGGCATCCAATGGTCCGGCGCCTCGGGGAAGCCGGAGCATCCAATGGTCCGGAGCATCCAATGGTCCGGCTCCCCACCACAGCATCCCCCGGATCGTACGGCGCCTCGGTGGCTCCGGAACAGGGAAGAGTCCGGCGTCCATGAGTTCGCCCGCCGCGACGGGGACGGCCGGAACATCCAAGGGTCCGGCGCCCCGGGGGCTCTAGTCCATGGGATGGTCCGACGCCCCTTGGACGCCTAAACATCCAATGGTTCGGTGCCTCGGGGGCTCCATGCCATGGGATCGTTCGGCGCCCCGGAGACACCGAAACATCCAATGGTCCGGCGCCTCCAGCGCTCCAGGCCACATCGTGCCCAGGATGGTACGGCGCCTCGATGGCTCCGGAACAGAGAAGAATCCGGACCATGAGTTGGCCTAGTGCGACGGGGACGGTCGGAACATCCAATGGTCCGGGCCCTTGGGGGCTCCAGACCATGGGATGGTCCGGCGCCCCGGGGCTCCAGACCATGGGATGGTCCGCCGCCCTGGGGACGCCGGACCATCCAATGGTCTGGTGCCTCGGGGACGCCAGACCATCATACCATGGGATGGTCCGGCGCCCCGGGCACGCTGGACCATACCATGGTCCGGCGCCTCAGGGGCTCCAAACCATGGGATGCTGCGGCGCCCCGGGGACACCGGAACATCCAATGGTCCGGCGCCTCGGGGGCTCCATGCAATGGGATGGTCCAGCGCCCTGGGGAAGCCGGACCATACCATGGTCCGGCGCCTCGGGGGCTCCAAACCATGGGATGGTGCGGCGCCCCGGGGGCACCGAAACATCAAATGGTCCGGCACCTCAGGGGCTCCACGCCACAACGTCCCCAGCATGGTACGGCGCCCTGGGGACGCCGAAACTTCCAATGGTTCGGCGCCTCGGGGGCTCCAGGCCATGGGATGGTCCAGCGCCTCGGGGGCTCCAAAACAAGGGATGGTCCGGCGCCCCGGGGATGTCGGATCATACCATGGTCTAGTGCCTCGGGGACACCAGACCATACCATGGTCCAGCGCCCCAGGGACACCGGACCATACCATGATCCGGTGCCTCGGGGACGACAGGCCGACCATCGAAGGTCGGGAAACCTGCGTTGCTGCCTGCAGCT